TTTTTTTTTTTGTTTGTTTGTTGGGTTTTTTTTCTCCTTTTACCATTCAGTGTTTTATCAGGATTGGGGAGAGGTCCCCTGAACCCCTCCCCCACCAAAAATAAAATTCCCATTTCCACATTTTGGCTCTTTGATTCACTGGGATTTGGGGCTTTTGAGAGCAGGTTTTGGGCTGAGATTTGGGATGAATCCCTGCACTTTGGGGTGAGCCCTGGGATTTGTCCCCCGCTCCCTGGTGCAGGCAGGGGCGGGCAAACACCGCAGTTGGTTTTTATTCCTTTTACAAAGAAGCTACAAAAGGTAAAAAACAGCGTTTGCAAGGAGGGGGAGGGGTGGGGGGGGAGCGGGGGGACCCTAACCCACCCCCGGGACCCTCCCCCAAATTCCAGGTTTGGCTTAATTTCCACACGGGCGGCCACGGACACGGCCCCTCTCCCCGGGGGGACACAAAGCACAAAATGATCGAAAACGCCAAAATCTAATACGGGGGGGAGGGGCGAAGGGGGGGGGGGGGGCCGGGGGGGCCCCGACATGCGGAGGGAGGGCGCGTAAGGCAGCGGGGAGGGGGCTGGCACTGCGGGCGGGGGAGGGGGGACAGCGGCCACGAGTCCCCACGGTCTCTGTTTGCCTCCCCCTGGGCTTCCCCTCCCTCCCCCAAAAAGGATCCCCACCCCCCCGGGGGGAGGGGCCATCCCCAAGTCTTGCGGGTCCCTTTGTCCCCTCCCCAGGGGRCCGGGGGGGCTTTGGCACGGTCCCGGCATCGCTTAAGGCACATTGTCCCCCCCGGGGGGGCGCGGGAGGGCTCAGCTCGAGGGTAGGGCCTGCACAAAGAGCCCGCGGGGGTCGGCGCGGGGCAGCTTGGCCGGGGGAGGGTCCAGGGGAGGCTCCAGAGGGGGCTCCAGGGGGTCGGGGGGCCCCTCGCCCCCCCCCAGCCCCAGCTCTGCCGGCAGCTCCTCATCGCTCTCCTCCTCCTCCTCCTCCTCCTCATCTGGTGGGGAGGACACAGAGTGGGAAGGGGGCTCGGGATGGTGGGACCCTCCAGTGCCCCCCACCAAAAACCGGGGGGGGTGGGGGTGGCCATCAGTAGGTTCCAGAATTGAACCTCCCAATTAACACCCACCCCAAAATTAACTCCTGCCCAAAATCAATCCCACCCCACCCAGAACTGACCCCTCCCCCCAGAAATAACTGCCTCTCCCACTGGTGASAGGGGAGCTTCCCTTTCTGGGGCAGCATGCAGGGACCGGGTGGACTCAACCCACCTTTGTCAGGGTCCTGTGAGTTCAGGGAGCTCGTTAGGTTGGCAAACTGGGGGGAGAAGGAGAAAMGGAGGGAGAAGTCAAGTTCGGGAGGTGGGATATGACCCCCAGCTCCCCCTAAACATCCCCCCAGACCCCCCCCAAAAACACCCCTGTGCCCATGACTGTGACAGGACACGTACCCTGAGCTGCTCCCCCTCGTAATACAGGTGAGGACTGGGCCCCCCAAAACTGCCCCGGACCACCCCAAACCCTCCCACGCCCCCTGCCTTGTGCCCACCTCGCCCATGACGGCGATGGGGCAGGTGCCCCGGGCCCGCGCCACGCGCTGCTCCACCAGGTAGTACATGTACTCGTCGTACAGCAGCCGGATCAGGTGGAAGGAGCCGAAGCTGGCGGCACTTCGCAGGGTCAGGTCCCGGATCACCATGGAGCTGTGGGGCACGGGGAGGTCAGGGGGTCTKGGGGAGGGTTTTGGGTGCATCGGGGGGGTTGCTGGATCAGGGGGTCAGGAGACTTCCAGGAGGCTCTGGGATGACCAGGAGTGTYCTGGGGGTCACAGCAAGATGGCAGAGAAGGTTGGGGTGTCTGTAGGATTTTGGGTTGTTGCTGGGGAGTGTCCCTCACCTGTAGAAGGACCACTTGAGCAGGAAGAGCTTGGCAGCACGGGGCAGCCCAGGTGTGCCCAGGTGCGGGCGCAGGACACGGCCCACGACGGCGTCCAGCCAGGCTGCCCACTGCTCCAGCGAGTGCTGCTGCCCCAGCGTGGCCTTGAAATCCTGCTCGAGGCGCTGCACCACCCGTGCCTCACAGCGGCACACCCAGGCTGCCTGCTCCTGCGGGATTGGGGACACGGGATGCGACCCAGAACGTGGCTACAGACCCCCAGCTCTSCCCCGGCCCCGCTCCAGACACCGCATCACATCCCTTTCACCCCAGCACACTCAGGGGGCTGCACCTGGGAGCACGGGGATCCAGGGATAGACCCCCAGTTCTAGGGACGCACCCCCAGCCTCCCCCCAGCCCTTTCTGGGGGTCCCCCACACCTGGACGTTGGCAAAGTCGACGCGGTTGAGATCGCTGAGCATTTGGCTGATCTGGGCCGTGTTCTGGAGCACGGCCCGGGCCGCCTGTGCCAGGTGGTTCAGGGAGGTGTAGCGCCGCAGGGTCTGCGCGAAGGCTCCGGCTGCCGCTGCCTGCRGGGCGGCTCTGTGGGCTCGGGGGGCACTGGGCACCCTCAGAGCCTCCCCCAGGGCACCACAGAGCTCGGCACAGCACCCAAACACCACCCCCAGACCCACCGTGACTACTCGAACTCCCCAAACCACCCCAGGGCCCACTGTGATCACCCTCTACACCCCAGGCCCCCTTCACCCCATAGACCCCATCATGGGCCCCCCAAAACCCATAAGATGCCCCCCATAGATCCCTTATAACCCCCCTGTGCTCCCCACAGTCCCCCCAAATGCCTCTTGCCAGCCCTGTAAAGTGCCTCCAAAGTCCCCAGGGCCCCCTCCAAAGCCCACCTTGATGCGGACCATCTCCTCGGGCATGCTGACCATGGCGTTCCCCAACCAGCTCTCCAGGCTCTTGGCAAAATTTCGGATTGCCTGGGTCAAGGCACCTGGGAAGGGGCATCAAAAGACAGAATTGGGGGGGTCCAGGGCAGCTCATCTGGGGTGGTCTTTGAGGGTCTCCAATCCCTGGGAGTGATTGGAGAGAGCTGGGTCCCTCTGCAGGGGATTTTGGGGCCATGCTGAGTTTGTGAGGTTTTTAGGTGGTTTTGGGGGGTCCTTTCCAGATTTGGGGGGTTCTGGGCACTTTGAGGGCTCACTGGGGATGGGGCGCAGCACATCGGGCACCAGGATCTCCACCAGCCCCTGGTACAARGCGTGGTCGCAGTCTCGCACCCAGCGCAGGACGGGCTCGTGCCGGGCCAGCAGCAGCAGCCGCCGCCGGGGCAGGCGCCGCTCCGCCTCCTCCTGCCTGCGGGACAGGGGGCCAGGGTCACCCCAAAACCTGCGGGGACACCCAGCAGCCCCAGAGCACCCCCACATCCCACCCCAGCAGCCCCAAAGCCATTTGCACCCCCCATCCTGGGGAATCCCCCAATACCGGGGGTCTCACTCTGCACTGGGAAGAACTTCCATGTCTGCAGCAGGTTCACACCCACGGGACTCCCAAATCCTSCTGTCCCCCATATCCCCCAGCCTCTCCCACACCCCCAGCCCCCAGAAGCCCTCCCACCCCCCAGTTTGGGAGCCCTGTCCACTCACGCCTCAGTCTCGCCGCTGCAGCGCCAGAAGCTTTTCCAGAGCGTCTCCACCAATGAGAACTGGAGGTTGATCATCACATCCACGATGGCCTTTGGTGGGGCACAGTGTGGTCAGAGGGGTCCCCCGCTATGGGGAGGGCGTGGTTTTGGGGTGCAGGGAGGTCCCCACCTCGCAGTGCTCCCGGTAGAGCTGCTGGAACACGTGCAGGTCCTCTGCCCCCACACCCTCTGGGAGTCCCTTGCCCTGCACGTCGATCTCAGGGAACTCTGGCAGCGTGCGGGAGGCATCTGCGGGGATCTGGGGGGTCAGCGAGGCTCCCCGAAATCGGGGGGGGACATTTTGGGTGCACAGCTGTAGGGGTGCTCACCCAGGAACTGCTGGTACTGCTGCACCTGGGCGCTGATGTCGGGGACACTGGGAGGGGCCGGCCCTGCCGACACCCCGTTGGTGACCCCTCCCTCCACCTTCTGCACGGGTTTTAGGCTGTGGGGGAGGCAAAAGTGGGGGATCAGCAGGGTTTTGGGGGGCTCGGGGGGAGAGTTTGGGGTGCCCCTCACCGTTGTTTCTGGGCGAAGGGCTGCTGGCGCATGGCCAGGTGCTGCTGGTCCTCCACGAGCCGCAGCAGCGGCGACCCTGCCTTGATGCGCAGCCCGTAGTAGTGGTACTTGGAGTTCCCCCTGGAAAACGGGGCACCAGAGGGGATTTGAGGGACTGGGTCTCCCCTGGGCACTTCAGGGGTTTCCTCTGGGCAGGAGGAGACGGGTGGGCGCTGCAGGTGTGCCCTGCAATGGTGCTGTGGAGACTCTGGCTACTCCACGATTTTGGGGCCTTCTTTGGGGGCGATTTTGGGGACTTGTGTGGTCTGACCTGGTGCCGAGGCGCCGCGTGCGCAGCCCCATGAACACGGAGCGGATGAGCTTCCCAAAGGAGGCGGCGTTGACGGGCTCCAGCTTGTGGCCCTGGCAGTGCAGCAGGTAGTGGCAGTACAGGGCGCTGCGGGGCAAACTCACCCCCTCGGCCGTCTCGTAGTTGTCCAGCAGCCACTGTACCTGTGGCGGGCAAAACGAGGGTCACCTGCACCCCAAAACACCACTCGGCTCTGCCCTTCCCACCTGCACCCTGCCCAGGCCGCCCAAACCCCACTGCCAGCACCACACTCACCCCAGAGCCCCATTCCCCACGGATTTTTCCCCGAAATATCGGGGGGGGGGGGAAATTATTGAAGGGGGTTGTTAGTGGGAAGGGACACTCCCGAGGTCAAAGCTCCCAGATTCCACCCCGAAATCTCAGTATTTCCCTCTCAAATCTCCATTTGTTCTCCCCAAACCTTTCATTACCCCCAACCCTCCCATTCACTCTTCCAAACTTCTTTTTCYTCCAAAATGGATTTTCCCCAAATCTCCCATTTTGCCCCAACTCTAATTAACCTCCCAACCCTCCCTTTTTTTCCCTTCCCAAACCTCCTGATATCCCTCTAAACCCCTCAGGCAAAGCCCTGCTTGCAACAGAGTTGCGTCCCCTTCCCTCCCCGACCCCAACCTCCCCTGCAGCCCCCTCCCCGCCCCCATTGGCCCCAAACCCGGAGCGTGTCCCCCCATTCGGGCTCTCACCGTGGCAGGGGAGGCGCGGGTGGTGTGAGCGTAGGCAGCGCCCCCTCCCCCCATGTACCCCCCCTGGATGACGWAGGTGCCGCCGCCGGGGGTCCCGGGTGTGCCGGGGGTCCCGCTGCCGCCCTGGGGGGGGGCGGAGGGGCTCGCCAAAATCTGTCCCCCCGCCACATACATGGGCACGGGGGCGCTGCTGGGGGGGGCCTGCGAGCTGGCGGGGGGCGGGGGCGGGCTGGGCTGCACCGCGGCCCCCCCGGCCCCATCGAAGTAGCCCCCCGAGTTCTGCCCGAACAGCGGCGTCTCAGCGAATGGGAACGAGCCCGAGCGGCTGCGGGGAAAGAAGCAGAGGAATGGGGGCGGGGGGGGTCAGTCAGCCCTGGGGACCCTGCACGCAGGAATGCAGGGGGTGGGCGGGCAGGGGGTGGGGGGCACTCACATGGCGCCGGCGGGGTACGAGCCATCCCCCCCCTCCACGTAGGGCACGGGGGCGGGGGGGAACACGTGCTGCACCGGGGGCAGCTGCTGCACCTGGGGGGGACAWAAACCGGGGGGTCAGCGGGGGGCACCCCCCAACACCCCCCGTCCCCCCCGAACGGCCCCCGCTCACCTCCTGGGGGGGGCCGGCCTTGGGGGCAGCCGTGGCGCTGGGGGCTGGGGAGCGCTGGGGGCACAGGGGGGGCACCCCCGGTTCAGCTCTTGGGGCACTTGACAGCCCCAGTTTAACCCATTTCAGCCCAACTTTAACCCATTTCATACCCGTTTTGCCCCATTTCAGCCCAGTACACTCCATTTCACCCTCATTCCAGTTCTCAGCCTTTTCATCCCATCTTGCTCCATTCCACCCCACTTTTATCCCAAATTCATCCCGTATCACCCCTTTCCAGCCCCACTCCTCCCAATTTCAACACTGTTTCTGTCTGTTTTGGGTCACTTCAGCTTAATTTCACCCCTTTCCAGCCCATTTCAACCACATTTCACCCCGCTCCACTACCAATTTGGCCCCAGTTTTCCCCCTTTWTTCTCACCTGCTGCCCCCCTGGGCTGGGCCCGGGCTGGGGGGGCGCGGGGGGGGCGGGGCTGCCATCGGTGCCCTCCGGGGGCCGCAGCCCCTCTGCTTTGGGGACAAAACCAGAACATTTGTGTCAGGCTTTGGCCTCACCCCAGCTCTGGGGCAACCCCCAAAAGCAAGGAGTTGGGGGAGGATGGGGTTTTGGGGCAATGCGCTGCAGTTCTGGGGTGCTCACCCGCCACGGTGACCACGATGAATTGCTGAGGGGCGGGCGGGGGCACGGGGGGCGCGGGGGTGGCTGCGGGAGGCGCACCGGGGGCGGTGCCTCCGGGCAGCTCCGCCCCAAAAGGGTCGGTGCCGGCGGGGGGCGGTGCCGGGGGTGGTGGCTGCTGCTGCTGTGACGTCGTCGCCGTCAGCTCCGTGACGTAGGAGGGCTGGGTCGCCATGGCGACGGCTGTGTGGGTGACGTCATGGTGGTGGGCGAGTGACATCAGGGCAGTGCCTGATGTTACCGCGGGAAAAAGGGGTGATGTCACCTCCCACGTGACATTCAGCGTGACATCACCAGACCCCGCCCCCGGCATCCCCGAAAATGACGTCACAACTTCTTCGTGACATCACCGAACGGGAGGGGGCGTGTCCAGCCTCAACCCGCGCGCCCGCATTGGCTCCCGCCCCCCGCCCCGCCTTCCCATTGGCCCGCCTGCCCGCCAATCGCGCGGCGCGCTCGAGCCCCGCCCTCCCCGCCCAAGCCCGCTGCCCCCCCCCGCTCCCCCCTTCACCCCCCCCCGCCGCCATTTTGGCGGCGCCGCTCGGACCCACCTGCCCGCGGCCGCCGCCGGGGCCCCGCGAGGGCTCCGCCTGCCCCCGGTGCCGCGGCTGCTGCTGCCGGCGGGGCCCGACGGAGCGGGGGGCGGCAGCAGCAGGGGCCGGGCCGGGCCGGAGCGCGGTCGCCACGGTGACCGTGGCTATGGCGGCCTCCCTGGTCCCTCACCGGGGCAACTGTTGCTACCCGCCTCGGCGGCGGGCGGGGCCGCCCGCGCAGATCCCGCCCCTCGATCCCTATTGGTTGCAGTTATCCGCTATCGCGCGTTGGTTGGTTAAGAGGCGAGTCGCTCCGCGTAAGTCCCGCCTGCTCGCCGTCTCATTGGTTGTTYCGTGCGTCCATCAGCGCTTCCTGCGGGGGGCGCTGCGGGAGGGGCCGCGCGGGGAGCTGGCGGTTCGCTACTGGGCAGAGCGGATGCCGATCAGCGCGAGGGGCTGGGGCCGCGAGGGCTGCCGGGAGATGTGGTCCCTGCCCTCGGAGGCGCGTCGTGACGTCACGGAGGCGTGACGCCATCGCCAGCCTGTTTTCACTGCGTTCGTCCCTAATTGGTGCTGTCAGGGGCTGTAATTACCGCTGKAAGGGGGAGAACGAGGGGTTTAATCAGGGAATGAGGCGGAGCTCCTGCCGTGGGGCCTTTAGGCCTGGGCCCTAGTGCTTTCGGGCACTCGTGGGCCGCGCTTCCGGGTCCTCGGGGCGTTACTGGGGCTATRAAAGGGCTACAATTGGTCTTTAGGACTGTCCCGGTTCCGTGGGGGGCCGCAGGTGGACGTGAGCCGCAGAGCACGACGGGAAATGTAGTCCAAGGTGCGTCAGCGCAGCCTCCCATCGTGGCGCCAGTGGAAAAGGAGGCGTGGCCACGAGGGGGCGCGGCCGGCGGGAATCGGTGTCACGTTCGGCTCGGTCACGTGCTCCCCGAGCGCTTCCGGGGCGCGATGGGGCCGGGGGTGGCGGTGAGGGGCGGGGGTCCCGGGGGTCCCGGGGGTCCCGGGGGTGGCGGTGAGGGGCGGGGGTCCCGGGGGTCCCGGGGGTGGCGGTGAGGGGCGGGGGTCCCGAGGGACAGTTTGGAGGGTCTCGATTCCGGGGGCGTCCCGGTTCTTGGCAGTTTCTCGGGGAGGTTCTTGGTTTCGGGAGGGTCTCGGGAGTGTCGGTGACTTTCCCGTTTCCCCCCAGCGCTCCCTCCGCCGGGTCTGGGCCGGCGCCCGGCGCTGCCTGCATGGGACGGTCTCGGCCCGCGCCCCTCCCCTCATCCCCATCGTGGTGGAGCAGACGGTGAGTGGGAGGGGGTCCCTGAGACCCGAAACACCCTCGACCGCCTTCACACCCTCACAAACCCCCGTGGCCCAAACCCCTCCGAGCCCCCCCATACCACTCCGATCCTCTTCTGCAACCCTCGATTCCTTCTCCTTGTTCTCCATAACCCTCCACAGCTCCAAACTTCCAGCCCCAGCCTAGCCCCGCACTGTTCCCCGGATGCCCCCAGATCCACCCCCGGACCCCCCTTTTCTCCCCCAGGGCCAGGGCGGGCGGAGCTACAACATTGAAGTGCGGGTTCCCGTCTCTCCTCTGACCCTTCCTGACCCCTCAATCCCCCGCGAAACAATCCCGCTGACCTCTCCACACCCCTCAGACCCCTACSCGCCCTCTCAAAAGCCCCTGTGATTCCCCCCCCCTTTTCTCCCTCAGGGTCGGGGAGAACGAGCCTACGACATCTACTCGCGGCTGCTGCGGGAGCGCATCGTCTGCGTTATGGGGCCGGTGGGTACCCCCGGGGGGGTTCGGGGACCCCAGACCTGCTCCCCGAGAGCCCTGGGAATCTCCTGACTCTCCCCGGCCGCCCACCTCCCCACCAGATCGATGACAGCCTGGCCAGCCTTGTGATCGCCCAGCTGCTGTTCCTGCAGTCYGAGAGCAACAAGAAACCCATTCACATGTATATCAACAGCCCCGGTGAGGCTGGGGGGACTCTGGGGGGGCTCSGGAGGCTGGCGAGGGGCTGGGGCACAAGGAGGGGATTTTTGTGGGGAGGGCTGCAAGGTCTCAAAGGGGAGAATGGGAGATGGGACAAGGGAGACTGTGGCCCCCAAACCCCTCCTCCCTGGGGGTAAAAAGGGGACAATTCAAAGGGCTTTGGGGGGTCCGGGGTAATTTGTGGGGTCAAGGAGGGTTTGAGGGTGTCACCCAGGGGGTCTCTGCCCACCAGGGTCTCGGTGACCCTCCCTTGGCCACCTACAACCCAATGGGGTTTGGGGGTCTCAGCGCTGTTGTGGCTCTTTGGGGCATCCATGGAGTTTTAATGGCTTGAAGGAGGTTGGGGGTCTCAGGGAGAGTTCAGAGGTCCTAGGGAGGGCATTTGGGGTCCTGGGGTGGTTTTGGGATGCCCCTGTGACCCATGTCCTCCCCGTAAGTATCTCGGTGACCCCCCCAGCCCCCGACAGCCACGTGGGCGCCGTGGGTCTCGGGGCTGTTGTGATTCTTTGAGGTCTCTACAGGGGTTTAAATGCCCAGGGTGGGTTTTGGGGTRTCCCTAATGGGGTTTTCTCCCCCAGGGGGCTCGGTGACCTCGGGGCTGGCCATCTACGACACGATGCAGTACGTGCTGACCCCGGTATGCACGTGGTGCGTGGGGCAGGCGGCCAGCATGGGCTCGCTGCTGCTGGCGGCCGGCGCCCCTGGCATGCGCCACGCGCTGCCCAACGCCCGCATCATGGTGCACCAGCCCTCGGGGGGGGCCCGGGTACGGCCCCTGCACCCCACGGCCGGGGCCAGGCTGGGCAGGGGATGGTGGTGGTGCTCAAAGYGGAAGGAGCAATTTGGGGAGAGTTGGAAGGGCTTGGGGAGATCCTGAAATGAGGGAAGCACAGAAATGGGGAGGGGCAGATTGCCCAGATTCTGCATGTGGGAAGGGGGCTCTAAAAGAGGGGGGGCAGGACCTGGAAAGCAGAAAGGGGGACCCTTGGTGAGGGGAGATACGCTGGGACCTCCCAGGGGATACTGCGGGGAAAAGGGGCTGTGGCATCTATGGGGGATGGGTGGGCACGGGGCCCCTCCCAAGTCTGTGGGTAGGGCTGGGGATGCCCCAAACTCCYCCAGACCCTCCTGAGCCTTCCCAAACCCCCTGCTCAGGGCCAGGCCACCGACATCGCCATCCAGGCCGAGGAGATCCTGCAGCTGAAGCGCCAGATCAACGGACTCTATGCCAAACACACGGGACAGCCACTACCTGTCATCGGTGAGGAACCCCCAGGACTCCCCCAATCCACCCAGGGACCCCCAAATTTCCCCGGGACTTCAAATGTCTCAGAACCCTCCCTGAGCCTGCAAGAGCCGCGGGGTTTACGCCGAACTCGGGGGGCAGGCACTGCTTGTCCGCGGTGAGGGACACCCTGAAGCCCTGCAGGACCCCTCCAGTTCCCCTCAGGGTACCCCTGAYACCCCTGTGATCCCTGCAGAAGCTGCCATGGAGCGGGACCGGTACCTGAGCCCAGTGGAGGCACAGGAATTTGGGCTCCTGGACCAGGTGCTGGTGCATCCCCCCCACCGTGGTGAGGACGAGCCCCGGCTGGTGCAGAAGGAGCCCCTCAATAACTCGTCCGGGGCCCTCCCMATCCCCCCAGCGCCTTGAGAGTTCCCCCAGCCCCAGTGGGGTTTGGGGCACCCCTCTGGGGTGGGGGAGCCTCGGGACCCTGCCCTGTGCTGCAACCCTGTGTGGAAATAAAGGGCTGTGGAACCCGGTTGAGTGCTGAAGGGATTTCAGGGCGGTTCTGGAAAGCGGGCGGGGCGATTGAGGCGGGCCAAGGAGGCACTGACGGAGGAGAGGGAGGATTTGGGGGACGTCGCAGTGTTTGTGGAGTCACTGAGTTATTTGAGGGGACAGTGAGAGACGTGGGGGGCCCAGGAAGGGGTCTGAGCGTGACTGTCAGTGATCGGGGGCGGGGGGAGATTGGAGCGGGGGTGGCACTGACGACATCGTGAGCTCCCCCGTCCGCCATGTCCGCCCGTCGCTGAGTCCTCCGGCCCGCCAGGGGGCGCCCGCTGCACTCCCGTCATGCACCGCGCGCGGGGCCTGTGGCGGGCCGGGGTCGCCTGCGCGGGGTCGCGGCCGCTCTCGGGGGGTCTCGGGGCGGGCTTGGGCCCCGAGGCCGAGGCGGACTCAGCCCTGCTCCGCGCCAGCAGCCCCGAGCTGGCCCAGCGGCTCCGCGGGCTCGCGCTGGTCCGGGGCGGCTTCGTGAGCGAGGAGGAGGCGGTGGAGCTGCTGCGGGAGGTGGAGCCGGGGCTGGCCCGGGGGCGGTACCAGAACGACCACTGGGACCGGGTGAGAGCGGCTCCGGCGGGGGTCGGGGGTCTCAGGGGTGCGGGAGGGCGTGTGGGAGGCAGTTCACAGGTCCCGGGGCCCGGGGCAGAGGTCGGTGTGAGGTCAAAGGCGAGAGTTCACCCCGCTTCACTTCCGCAGGCCATCACCGGCTACCGGGAGACGGAGCGGGGCCTGCGGGGCGGCGCGGGGCGGGCGCTGCTGCTCCGGGTGACCCCCGCCTTCCCCGCCCGCCGCCCGCCCCGGCCCAGCGCGCACGTCCTGGACCTGCTGCCGGGCGGGCGAGTGGGGCCGCACGTGGACAGCGTCAAGGTGGGGGACGGGGGGGACCCCTGGGTGGTTCTGGGGGGGTCCTGGGGGAATTGTGGCGGTGCCAGGCTATGGGGGGAGATGAGGAGGGGCTGGGGGTCGCTGGTGGGTTTCAGGTATCTCCAAGGGGGCTTTGGGAAAGGGAGTTTTGGAGGTCCTGGGATGGTTTCGAGGAGTCTCAGGTGTGTCCCGCCCCCCAGTTCTGCGGCTGCACCATCGCGGGGGTTTCGCTGTTGTCCCCCAGCGTCCTACGTCTCCGGAGCCTCCGTGACTCCCAGGACTGGCTGGAGCTGCTGCTGGAGCCAGGRTCCCTCTATGTCCTCCGGTGGGTTCTGGGGAGCCCTGGGGAATACCCTGTASGGGTTTTGGGATCCCCGGGGAGGGGGTTGGGGACGCCCTGACCCCCTCGTTTCCTCCAGAGGTGCTGCCAGGTAYGAGTTCACCCACGAGATCCTCCCTGATGAGGAATCGTATTTTGGGGAACAGCGGGTGCCACGAGGGCGCCGGGTAGCCCTGATCTTTCGCAACGACCCCCCCGGTGAGAACCCCCCCCAAACCCCCCACATTTCCCCTGTCGGGACCCCCAAGCCCCCTGGAGACTTCACACCGCTTTCCTCTGCGGAGAGCATTTTACTGCAAGAGCCCCTCCTGCATGTCCTGACATCCCCAAATTCCCCTTACAACCCTGCAGTGAACCCAAACTGCCCCCAAAGCCCCCCCAGACTCCACCTGGCATGCACAAAGCTCATATAGGACCCCCTAAACATTCCCAGTGATCCCTGAACCTCCCACCGAAGACCCCCCTCAATCCGCCCTGACATCTCTGTTTTCCCCCCACCGCAGAGACACCTCCGGACCCTCTCGGTGACCTCCCAGCATTTATTGAGGACCCCGACGACCCCTTACCCCCAAAATGAGCCCCCCCAATAAACAGTGATCCCCGCACTTGGCTCATGGGGGGCTGTTTTGGGGGAGCTTCAAGAAGGAGCCTTTGGGGAACCCCCAAACCCCCCCGAGCTGATGGTCAGGGGGCGCTTTTGGGGGGAGGGACCCCCAAAACCCCCCCCCGACAGATGGGGAGGAGTTTTGGGAGGTCCAGGGAAGGGGTTTGGGAAGGTATTTTTGAGGGGGTGTCATTTCTGACTGGCAAGGGGGGGTGGGTCAGGAGCATTATTTTGGGGGGGTCTCACCCCAGGCACGCGCAGGCCCCCGCCGATAGCCGCGGTAGCTTCTGCCAGCGCAGCCCCGAGTCCAGGAACGCCACATCCTCATAGCGGGTGGGGCGGCAGCAGGGACCCCCCCCGGGSCCCCCCGGCCCCAGCACGGCCCCGAGCGCCAGCCCGTGCAGGGTGGGGGGCGCGGGGCAGCCGCCCCCGCAGTAGCGGAACACCACGGTCTCGGGGGAGGGGTACCCCAGACCCAGCGCCCCCACCCCCACCGAGACGCTGCGGAGCCCGCACAGGGCGGGGCTGGCCGGGGAGGGTGCGGGGGGTGCGCGGCAGAGGCCGAGCAGGACGGGCAGGAAGGACCAAGGGAGTCCTGGCCTCGCCATCCTGAACAGCCCCCCTGAGAAGGTGCCCTGAGGGGATTTATGGGGTGTGGAGRGGGAGGGGTTTGAGGCAGGGGTGGGGGAGGAGGGGGCATTAACCCTGACCTGCCCGGGGGGGCTGGAAGGGGGCACTGACCCCTCCACCCAGAGTACATTTGGGAGGGGTCTTTAACTGGGGAGGAGGAGTTAGTGGGGGATGTGGGACCCCTGAGAATGCACCCAGGGGTTGGGGCAGGGGGGAGGAATTTGGACAAGGGAGACCTCCCCATGCCAGAGAGGGTGGAGTGACACCCCTGGGACCGCCAGACTTGGCGGGTATAATGGACACTGTCCCAAAAAAGCAGCTGGGGGGATTGGGGTCTCAATCCAACCCCCCTTCCCAAGAAGGAAGTGCCCTCCCCAAGTACCTGGCCCCCCCTTCCCCCAAATGACTGGCCAACTCCCCAGGGCTATTTTGGGGTGAAACTCCCTGGGGGAGGGAGGAAATTTGCCCCTCTTCCCCAAAGGTAGAAGGGTCATGTGGGGGCTCATTTTGGAGGGGTCCAACACCCCCCTTGGGGGCTGGAACATTCCAGCACCATGGGGGAGGTGTAGAGCTGGCACCAAGTAGGGGAAAAAAAGCCTAAAAATAGTAAAACATCCTAGTTCTGACCCAAAAAAGACATGACTGAGGAATTGGAGGGGAGGGAGGAAGCCTCTTCCCTGCCTCACCATGGGGAAATTCCCGGGCCCCGCAAATTCCTGGGGAGGGGGCAGGGAAATGAGGAGTTTGTTAATGGGAATTTGGGATGGATGGGGGGCCAGTAAATTGGGGAAAGGCAGGGGTCTGGAGCAGTGGGTGAGAGTTTGCAAAATTGTGGGGGTCCTGTGGGAATGGGAGAGGGGGGTCCTATGGTATTTGTGGGGGACCCTTCTGGATTTCTGGGGTCATTGTCCTGGAGCTGCCTCTAAAGGATCTTAGAGGTCCCTTAACTTAAAGGACCCTGGATTCCTGTGGGTGTCTTTGGATTGGGGGGTTCCAGTTGTTTTTAGGGGGGTTCCAGTGGATTTTGGGGTCCCTATTTTTAAAGACAAACACATCTAACACCCTCCTGTTTACCGGCTGACTGGGGGTCGTTCCCAAGGATCTGGGTCCCAGGTGGCTCCCCTGGCTCCGCAGGGCCCTACTCCTTGAGGAAGAAGTGCATCTTGTCTGCAATGAGTTTCCGCTCGGGGTCGAGGCGCTTGAGCAGCTGAGCCAGGGCGTTGACGGTGGCGTCGCTGCTCAGCCCGGTGCGCTTGGTCTGGAACTTCTTGAGCAGGTCCTTGGTGGTCATTGGCTTTCGGGACAGGTAGCGGCGCACAGCCTCCTCCGTCAGCTGCACCTCTCTGCCCGGGGSATGGAGGGATCAGCAGGGCCGGGGGGGGTCAGCAGGGCCGGGATCCCACAGCCCCCCCAGACTCACCCGCTGCTGGGGGTCGACTTCCCAGAGTGGGGCTGAGGCGTGGATTTGCCCGATGGGGGCCCCGGCTCTGCCTTCAGCCGCTTTTGGGGAGGGGGTTCGGACCCGCCTGGGGGGGCCCGGCGACCTGGGGGGAGATGAGGAGGTCAGGGGGGGTTTGAGGGGATCCCCAGGAGGGAGTTGGGAATTGCCCCCACTCCAAAATGTCCCTGTGACCCCTTCAGAAGTGTCATCCAGCCTCTCAAAAATTCATCCTGAGATCCCTCAATACCTCCCCAGACCCCTCAATATCCCCCAAGACACCCTGGACCCCCTTCAGTGTCCCCCAGCACACCCAAACCCCTCCTTTGACCCCCAGCTTTGCCCCAGAACCCCAATAACCCTCTCAAACTCACAACTTCCTTCCCCCCAACCTCCTGTTATCACCTCCCAACCCCCTTGGGGTCCCCATGATGCCCCCCCCAGACCCCCAAAATTCCCCCTGAGCCCCCTTCATACTCCAACCTCCCCCCAAGTCTCCTGAAACTCCTCCACCTTCAACCCCCCCAAAGCCCCACCTTGCTCGAGCYGGGCAGCCGCAGCCCTGAGAGTCCCCCCAGTGCCCCCCGAGTCCGTGGGGGTCCCAGGCCGGGAGCCCCCCCTGGAGCTGCYGCCGGAGGCCCTGCGCTCCCGCTTGGGGGGGGTCTTCTTCTTCTGGGGTGGGGAGAGAAACAGGGAGGGCTCAGAGGTGTCCAATGACCCCATGGGTCCCCCAAACCCCCCAGGGCTGCCCAGAATGGGCCCCCCAGGACCCCCACACTGTCCAGCCTCCCCTCACCGCCATGAACAGTGCTGAGGACGTCTCGCTGTCGATGTCGCTCTCCTCCGATGTCTGCGACTCATCGCTGCTTTCTGGGGGGTTGATAATGTCATCAACATGGTTTTCGGGGGTTTCCCCCAATTCCTGCTGGGGGAGAGGACTGGGGGGAGGGTCTTACCCCTCTTTTTCTTCTTCTCTTGGGGGGTGGGGGTAGCTTTTCCCTCCTCTTCCTCCTCCTTCTCCTCCACCTTCTCCTCCTCGCTCTCCTCGCTGCTCTCGCTCGCCTCATCGATGCCTTTGTTAGGGAGGGTCCTGAGAATCTTGGACCCTAAAAATCTCCCCAATCCCCCACCAGGAACCAACAGGGGGGTCCCAACCACCTCCCCAACCCCACCTTTTGGGCCTTCCTCCTCCTCCTTGGGCGCTTTAGCTTTACCAGCATCTTCCTCGCCAGAGCTGCTGCAGGACAAGGGGGGATTGGGGAGGTCAAGAAGAGCTTGTAGAGGGGATTTGGGGGACCCTGGGTGGGGCGATTCTGGGGTCCCAGGGGGGATTTCTGCATCCCTGGGGAGGTTTGGGGGGACACTTTTGGTGGGTACAGTGCAGTTGAGGGAACCTTTGGGTTCTGCAGTACTCTCCGAAATTCCCCCAGGGAACCCCTAAGCCTCCCCCCATCCCATTAAACTCCCTCAGTGATCCCACAATACACCAAAATCCCCCCAAACCGCTCAGGACTTCCCTCCCAAGTCCCCCCTCCAAGGAGCCATAAGCCCTCATCGTGGTCCCTAAAATCCTACCAAGAACTTCCAAACCCACCCAAAACCCCACATAATTCTCCCTAGGGTCCCCTAAAACCCTCCAGCGACCCCCAAAATGCCCCAGTCCCACCTGGAGCCATCGGACATGTAATCGACCTCCTGGCCCTCAAAGTCACCGTCGTCGCTGTCCTCAAGTGCTTCGTCCTCAGAGCCCTTCCTGCCCTTCCTTCTCCTTCTCCTTGAGCCTCCCCCAGCAGCCTTTGGCCTCACAGCCTTCTCTCCTGGGAATTCCATTTGAGGGGGTAGGAGGATTTAGGGAAGATTCGGGGGAGGATTCTGTGGCTTTGGGGCATTTGAGGTGTTTTCAGGAGGATCTGGTGTGGTTTTAGGGGACTTTGAGATTCCCTCCTTACCCTTGGTCTTGCTGCTCTTGAAACAGRAGAATTTTGGGTGGATTTGGGGCCATTTTGGAGAAATAGGAGGAGAATTTGGGGGCCCTTTCAGAAGGATTCTGTGGGGTTTGGGATTTGCCTCCTCACCCTCAGCCTCGCTGCCTTCGCTCTCCTCGGAGCTGAGCTCCAGATCCTCCTCCAGATCGTGGATCCGAAGCCCCCCGCCCTTGCCTGGGGCCTTCCTCCCCTTGTCCTTGTCCTCGTCCTCCTCATCCTGGTCCCGCAGGCGCCGCTGCTGCATGATGCTGAAGTGGTTCAGCACCTTGTTCCTCCTGGGGAGGGTGGGGGGTTACAAGGGCTCAGCAGGGCTGGGAGGGGGTTTTAGGGGGACTCTGAGGGGACTGGGAATGGATTCAGGGGGCCGGGGAGGGGGCTCTTGGGGTTTTCAAACAGATTTGGGGGTCTGGGAGAGTATTTGGAGGGCATTTGGGTAGTCTTGGAGAGGACTTTGGGGAGGCTGGAGGGTTCTTGAAGCTGATCTGCAGGGGCTGGGAGAGAATTTGAGGGATCTTGGCGTGGATTTAAGAGTGTCTGGAATGGGATTTCGGGTCTCTCCCATGGTTTTTAGGGTCTTCCCCGAGGTCTTTGGGGTCACCTCTCCCACTCTTCCTCGGCCTCCTCAGCTGTCAGGGTGCGGTGCCGGGCCAGGGGGGTGAAGTTGTACCAGTTCCGGACTGGGAAGGCCTCGAAGGCGCCGTCAGGGCATTGGGTGAACACGTAGTAGGAGGCGTTTTCCGTCACCCCGCCCTTCTTCACCCCCCGGAACCTGTGAGAGGGTGATTGGCACCTTGGGATCCCCAAAAACACCCCGGAATTCCCCAACACAGRACAATCAAAATCCCCCTGCAAAATGCCCCCAAAACAGCTCAAAATCTGCAAAAAACTCCCCAACCCCCCAGTTCCTACATCACGCCCTGGGAAAGGGAGATCAGCATCCAAAAATCTCCCAGAATTCCCAAAAACTCCTTCACCATCCCGAAACCACTGTTTCTTTTCCAGTTTCATTCCTATTCCCATCCCCATGTCAATTCCCATTCCAATCCCAGCTCCCTCTCCCTCCCACCTCATTCCCTTTCCCACCCCAATCCCATTCCCTTCTCCACTCCCACGCTCACCCCAAATCCCAAACTTCCCCCCTCCTGTCTCACTTCCTGCCGGTTTTCCCGTTGACTCGGAGCAGCCAAGGCTGGTCCTCAGCCCGGAATTCCCGCAGGACAATCCCGTATTTCTTCCTCCGTGCCTCCTCCCGCAGCTTGCGGTGGAATTCGCTGCCAGCCCCGGACTCGGGCAGCTCCTCCTCGGCGTAGATCCGCTTGTTGCTCATGTCCCGCTCCATGCGCGCCTGGACGTGCATTTAGGAACAATCCTGACCCCMTTCCCAGTGCTCCCAACCCCCAGACTCCCGAACTGTGCTGCTGACAGAACAGGATCAGATCTGGATCCCAAAAGTTCTGGATCAACCCCAAATCCTGCCTGGACCCAGAGTGGGATCAGACACAAGTCCGTGACCCCAAATCCTACCACTCCCACACCCCTCCAGACCCAAATTCTATTCCCAGCCYAAATCCTGAAAATGGCYTCAGACCCCACCATTCTCAAATCCCTCTGTGCGACCCCAAATTCCCCCATGACACAGACTGGGATTGATCCAGAGCCTCATCCCCAAATCTCGCCATTCCCAACCCAAATCCTGCCAACTGGAGAAGTGGGAATGGATCCAGGACCCCMAATTCCCCCCAGGACCCCTGGGACTGCTCTCACCTGTACCCAGGCCCTCAGGATCACTCTGAGCCCACCCCAGGAGCCCTGAAAGCCCCCCTGGGGCCCCCTAACCTGTGCCCAGGTGCTCAGGGTCACTCTGTCAGCACTGTTGAAGGCCATGATGTTGTAGCGTTTTGGAGTGTTCCTGTGGGGGGACAAAAAGAGCCCTCAGATCCCCCCAGCACACCCAAAATAACTATTGAGACCCCCAGCGCCCCCAAACTACCTGAGCCCCCCCCAAAAAACTTCCCCAAATAGCCCCAAACCACCTCAAACCTCCCAAATCTGACACCCCTAAATTCCTCCCCACCAAGACCTTCCAAACAACACTCAACCTTCCCACGACCACCCAAAACCACGGACACCTCCCCCCAAAATGCCCCCAAGCCCCCTAAACTCCCCTGGGCACCTCCAACTGCCTCCCAAGCCCTTCCCAAACCCCTCCAAACCCTCGGAGCCTCCAAATGCCCCCCACTCACTTGGGCACCCTGACCACGTACTCGGTGACCACCTGGGAGCTGCTGCCCTGCGAGACAAAGGGGGAGGCTTTGTGCATCCCGGGGGGACTGGGGTGTTCGGGGAGGGTCCCCGAGGKTTTTGGAGAGTTAAGTGGTCCAAGGGACATCTACGGAAGCCCAAGGGTTCCTGGGGAAGGCGGGGCCCAGGAGGTTTTTGTGGAGTTTAGAGGTCCCCGGGAAGGTGCTGGGCTCCGGAGTGGGGATTAGGGGGTCCCTGAAGAGTTTTGGGCGGTCCTGGGGAGGGTTTTGGAACCCTCCCCCACTCACCAGCGCGGCCATCGCGGCGGGGGAGGGTGAAGCACCCGAGATCCGGCCCCGGGGAGTCCTGAGGGGGAAAAGGGGCGGGGGGAGTCAGGCCTGGGGACTCCCTCCAAGTGGGGAACCCCCCCCAGATCTTCCAAATGCTCCTGGACCCCTCACACGGACCCCCAAACCCCACCAGCCCCTCCCGACCCCCTCGCAGACACCCCAAGGCCCCACAGGGGCTCCCAGGACAGCGCGGAGCCCCCCAGGACAGCCCGGAGCTCCCCCCGGCCGCCCCCACCGTGCGCTCCCACCGCGGCTCCACTTCCTGCCGGAACCGGAACTCCTCGTGTCACGTGACAGGAAAACGAAGCGACACACGCCGCGCCGCCGCGAACCCTTCTCCACGTGACCGGAAGTGTCGTCCCGACCCGCCGATGCGTCGCCATGGCAACCGCGGCGGCGCGGCCCCAAAACCGCCCGGTACCACCCTAAAACTCAGTTTTCACCCCAAACCGCTCCTKTTCACCCCAAAACCACCATCTTGCCCCGCAAAACCTGCAATTCTCAGCCCCAAACAGCATTTTTCGCCCCCGTTTCCCTTTTTTTCACATTAAGACCCCACTTGTTTACCCCTGACCCGCCTCTAAGCGGTTTTCCGCCTTTTCCCCAAGCGGCCGCATTTCACTGCAAACTCGGAGTGGTTTTTGTTCCGTTTATTTGTGAAGTTAAAAACAAGCGGTAAAAAGTAAAAACTTTGAGCCTTCGGTGGTCGGAGTTTTCCAGATGCTCCGGAACGACACGGACACGGCGGGGGGG